CCGGGGCTCGAACCCTCGACCTCCCGCACAACAGTCCAGCGCTCTATCCATTGAGCTAACCGGGAGGCGGTTACATGCATGACAAATGTAATCGTTTTCTGCCGATCAGAAGTGCGTAATTTTTTCATGTACTTTATCACGTGGCAAATTGTATTCCATGAACTTGGCTAGACTAAGGTTATCCTGATTAGTTTATCTCATCTTTCTTGTCTGCGTTTTAATGATGCTTTTAACTTATCATCATTCGCTCATCAGTCAACGTTTACGAGTCCAGTTCACGGAATTGATTTTCTTGTTATGCAAATTAAATTTTTGCTCTGAAATACGCTCCTTACACTTTCAATCACCGACAGATGCATTAATCGCTCAATCACCGCTGCTTTTGCTTTGTTCACTGACCCTTATTAATCAGTAAATTTAAAACACATACCCTCAGAAAGCTTCTCTGTTATTACTGGAGGCAAATCAGATAATCTCCGCCGACAAAAGAGCTTTGAATGATCTTCCTCAACAGTAGAAATCCAGAAGGCGTCCTCGCTGATACCCGCGGTCTTTCCCCAGGGACTATCTCCTCTGTTTGCATGGATTGCAAAGGCCTGGGGCCAGTGGCTGACATCCGCTGTCTTGCGCCAAAACAAGTTCCTTGCCAATTCACCACTTTTCAGACCAAAACATTTCCATCGTGTGTCGGTAACTAGGCCGTTGCTTACACTTCCCATAAGCCACGGTTTTTCATGATAATTTCGACATCTCACAGCCAGGAGATGGGTTTTTGATTTTACAGTGACATTAATTACGATGTCCCCCCATGAACTGTTTTGAGCATAAGTCTTGTAATCACCGAAGGTAAAAATAGTTAGCTCTCCTTTGCAAGTAAAATTTGCTTCGAGCGATTCACTCGTTTTCCCTGAAATACAAACAGAACTTATTATAAACACAGTGCAGTTTGGTCTCTGAACTTCAACTGATCATAAATGAAGCTTGAAGCCGGTGAAAATCTAAGCGATTTTGTCCAAGCACATTCTCCCTATCAAATTTGCTTATTTAGATTTTTCGTTTCTTTTTTTAACGTATAAATAATAATTCTTTGTGTCAACATTAAGTTACAATGTTTTTTTCTTTTTCACAGTAATGCACTTCTTTGTGAAATCGTGGGGGTATAACGGTACCATTATCATTGCACCAGCTTCTAAGGAACGGTGACATAAAAATTATAATGCTGGTTTTCTATGGTATTCTAACAGTGCACGTTCGGAAAGAAACGAGATGATCTACATGATAGTACTTAGATCGATGTGGTGCCTCCTCCAACAACTTGTGAGAAATTCATAAAGTTCTGGGGGTACCGAGACACACCGTTCGAGAACAATCGGATTTGAAAGGTAAGTACACGTTGTATTAAGTGTAAAGAGCTTAGGCAGAACTGACACTACTACAAGTAATATAAAAAGAGTGCGTTAATCAGATAAAGGCAGGCCCCAACATGCAGTTAGTTCAACACAATATGTACATCAAAATTTTGCTGAGCACAATATAAGTATTTGTATTGACATCGTTCGTGCATGTGAGGGTTCTCGTTAGCTTTGGTTTTCTCGTTAGCTTTAGTTTTCTCGTTAGCTTTGGTTTTCTCGTTAGCTTTGGTTTTCTCGTTACATTTTTCATTAGTTACATTATGGTAGAAAGAAACCAAAATCAGCGAAAAGACAAAGACACGTTTACGGTTCACAGTCGCTTTTGTTTGTGTGTGTTTTGTTTGTTTTGTTTCTTTAAGGTACAGCGGAGAAGAACTGATTAATTAACTACATCCAAAGGAAAATTATTTTTCATTGGATTTGCCTTATTTCAAATATGGTTTTTACATGACATCGTTCGTTTTCGTTAGTATTCGCCCTCCGGCTTTGCCGGATACGTGAACTTGCTGTACAACATCGATAATTAAAAAAATTACTCCGATCTCAGTAGTAAACTTTGTCACGATCACCGGCTTCTTAGTTTCCTGATTATGACTCACCTTGGCAAAACGGAATGTTGAACAGAAAATAAAATGCAAAAAATCTCATTTCTACTACAAAAGGCAATGTTTTAGGTCGTTTATCCAAGTAAATCTGTTTCAATTTCACTGAGTAAGATGTCACTTGATGTATACCTAAAAGCTGTTGCAACAATTGTGTTTATTTTTGTTTTACCACAACAGTGCACTTTGATTGAATGGAAACACCATGGACAAAGAAGGCTGGAGACATTTATCTATACGAAACAATGTGCAATTAATGTTAGAATTCAAAGTTAAGCAAACAGCCGAACGAATCGTGACGATACCACAAAGATAAAATACTCATGTATAAGAATACTGATCAAAACTAAATATCCAAATTTCATTCTTAATCGAGTTTTAATGTTTTAAAAGATATTGAAAAATTTCCTTGCAGTCTTCTCAGCGAGTTTCCATTCGGAGAAGGTTATCTCTTAATTCGGATATATCAAGATGTCATACATCAAGTGACATCTTGATATATCCAAATTATTTCATTACTCCCACCGACCCAGCCCCAAACAGTTTCTTTCGAAACTATCAGCCTTTATCTCTTAATTCGTTACGCTCCCTGCACACTTGTGTGAAGCGTCCTAAATTTTAAAATTTGGTGCTAAATTGCGGGTTACTTCTCTCCAATTGAAGGAAAATCAGATAACCTTCGCCAGCAGATAAGTCTCACGTGATCCTCATCAAGAGTAGTGATCCAGAAAGCGTCTTTACTGATACCCGGAATCTTTTTCCAGGGACAATCTTCTCTGTTTGCATAGAGTACAAAGGACTGGGGCCAATTGTTATCATCTATTTTCGGCCGCCAATATAGACGATTGCCACTAGGTCGTTCAGTTCTGTTCTGTTCAGACCAAAACATTTCCCTAGGGTATCGGTAACCAAGTGGTTGCTAACACTTTCCATGAGCCACGGTTTCTCGTTATCAAAACTTACACATTTCACAGCTAAAATCTCGCTTTTTGATCGAACAGTGACCGTTGTAATCTTGTCCTCTTAGCTTTTCTTGAGGTTACTATAACCGCCAAAGGAGAAATAAGTTATCTTTCCTTTGCACGTAAAATTTGTCTCGAGCGGTTTGCTCGTTTTTCCTGGACAATAAAACGCAAGTAAATAAATGAATGATTATACAATAAATTCCAGTTATTGAACTTCCATAGCCTGCAGGGATCAGTGAAAACACCGAGCTGATTGTGTTCGATATAGTTTGGCCTCACTTTTAAACATCATCATTGCTCTTCGCAAGATTATGTTACCTGTGTCTCCAGAGATTGGTTGCAAACCACCTATAGCCTGAATTTAGACTTGACAATTAATCTTCGTGAAAGATCAACCGAACTGGTACATGTTTACAGAGTTTTAATTTGTTGTTACTGACTTTTGATGTGGAGCAGCAGTTATCTTGAGTACAACTTGACGTTTCATTTAGTCTTTTTCGATCGATAGTTCTAGGTATTTCGACGTCAGCTTTCTTTCGGTCCATTTTCCACTCGAACCGTTTATATTAATGTAAATTTCTCCTCTCACCTCGGTCAGTTTTCGTCGATAACGTAAGAAGGGTGATGTGGCAAAGAACGTTCGGTTTAATTTGTGTTTATGGAACAGACAATAAAAGTTGGTTACTGCATTGTTTTTCTTTTCTGTATAACGCTAAGCTCGACATGTCATGAACAGTCTTTTTTAATATCTAGTTTACAGCGTTATGACTACGCGACAAAAATGAAAATGAATTTGGACGAATACTGTTTGTGCTCCTACGCTCGTAAGAGGACCTCAATAGTCAATAGGACGATGGCGTTCATGACTTATGGTTAAAATTTTGGCCATTTTATTCACAGGAAATGTTTATTTATGATTAAAGTTCTTTTTACTGTAAGGGTTAAAATTTGTCAACTTTTACACCTAACAGATAAATGTTTTAGCCGTTTTACCGCTGCCTATTACCAAGATCCTCTGGCAATGGTAAAAATATCAATGCGATTTTCACTTTCCCTTGTAACAAGTAAACCTAACGTCCCTGCAAAAGCACGCGAGAGGCATGTTAAAAGTATATGAAAATATTCTCGCAGTGCTTTCAAATGCTTTTTATTGGTTCTTGAAGCCTACATGTAATTAAAAAACAATTCGACTTACTCTCGCGCATGCGCTTTAGGGTCTCGACAGTGATTAAGCCGACCACGAGTTTTGACTTAAGCTTAGCTTCCTGTCCCACCCCTACCCCCCACACAGAGCACCAGAGTAACTAGAAGATATCTATGAGATTTTCATCTCATTCATATGTTTTGAATTCGAAATTTAATTCTAGTTCAGTATAAATAAAAACTGAAAAGCATTTTTGTTTCTCTGCATGGACACAGACCCTTTACATTCTTTTGTCAGCTTCCTGTTTTCAGCCCACAATGATGTTATTAGTCTTTATCTAAATTTAAGGCAATAGTTTTTAAATATTTTTTAGAATACGATAAATCTAGTCATTTATGTAGTTTAAAATAAGTATTAGCTTCGCTATATATTTTTTGTTTTTTTAATTCAGACTTTAGTTCTTTATAGGGTTTCTCCTTTGATTTTGATTGACACTATTTATCATGCTGATCACTAGTTTATACCAGCCGGCCAATCTATTAGATTGCCGTTTAGTTTTATCAGTTGAAATAAAGCTTATTATTATATTCGCAGAGGAATCAACTGAATGCTACATTCTAATCAAGCAGCACAGGGCGAAAACCGTAACCTGTGAGCCATGGAGTAAAAAATAACTGTGCATTAACTAATCCTAAAAAGCTTTTCCGATGTGTCTACGGTCCTCCTTCTAACAGGAACTCAAACTACCACCTTGAAAGTCCGGGCAATATTCAG